CCTGGGAACGCCTTGGTGTTCCCCCGGAACATACACACACATACATGTGTACAGACTAGAACACAAGCACAAAAACTGCTCTGAGATGGACACCACCAAACAAACAACACAATGGTGAATTGTGATGGCCAGGATGAAAGTGTTGGATTCGGCAAGCTCCAGATAGAGAAAAATCCTGAGTGCCTTCCAATCGCATCACTAACTCACTCCACAGATAGTAACCAAATATATTACTGAACATTTGAACACAAGGTTGAAACTGATTTTAAATTTAAAAAAAAGACAACTACCTTGTAGTCTGATAGTAACTAACAGCTGCAGGCAGTGAACTGACCTCAGAGCATCCAGTTTACAGTTTGGACTCTTCAGTCCAGCACACAAAAGTTTCAGTTCTGAACCATCCAGGGTGTTTCCACTCAGGTCCAGCTGAATCAGACTGGAGGTGTTGGATTTCAGAGCTGAGGTCACACATTGAAAGTGAGACTCTGACAGTCCACACCACCTTAACCTGTGATGACACAAACATTACAACAAAATAACCCAGCTGGACACTTCCTGTTGGACATTGTGCTCTGGACATCAGTGCTTCAGCTGATCTGACTGACATGAAACAGGAATCCTCCTCAGTCTGTCGGTTTGCTCTAACCCCACGCCTGACTCCACAGACTCCTGAGGCCATCTCCATCAGAAAAACATTTTAACTGTGACTCAGGATATTTGACTGAGTTCAGCTCAGTGACCAGTTTGTGAACTTTTGGTTCTTTCTTTAATTTTATTGATGTTCTTTCTTGTGGTCCCGATGTTCTCGTCTTTGCCCCCCTCTGTCTTCTCTGTGATACCTTCAGTGTTCCCCTCTCACTCTTATCATGTTTCTGTTGAGCTTCACATCTCCCTATTTATTTCTTTTCCTGTTTTACTTTGATAATCACTTTTCTCACGTGTCTTGTTTTGTGCTCTGTCCCTGTTTACAATTGGACTTTGGCTCATTTTGGTCTGTTTGTGACAATAAAAAAAAAAATTCCTCAGTTTTTTCTTTTAGTCCTGCATTTGGTCATCTCCACACCTCATCCAAACCGACCTCTTTCTGTGGAACGTCTGTGGAACATTTAGTGTAACAAATGAAATGAACTACTCGACAGTCAGACCGGACCATAATTCCCTATTAAAAGAATTCAATATTTAGAGATAAGGACAGATGATTGTGTGAACTTCAACATTGACTTCTACCTTCTGAAAAACTTGTGAACACAAACCAATTCAACCAGGCTTTGTAATGAAATAGGACTGATTTAGAAACTGTTTTTCTATGACACATTTCAGGAGCTGGGGTTGGCCTTTACACTCTACAGCTTGTTAACAGCTTGACTTGTACTGCGTGTAACCGGGTCATAAATGACATATTGTTATAATTACACAAAATGTGTTCTAAACCCCAAACTGTTATTGGTATACTGACTTTTAGGACCTCCAAGCTTTGGAAGTCCTTGGAGGCCTTGGATTTACTTGTAAGTCTTTCTTTTTACCTTTCGTTGTCAGACACAACGCAGGAACACACATGTGCATAGAGACAGAGATCTGCACTTACCGAGCCTTTCTGCAGTTCCTCACAGCTGGAATTAATCTGCGTTGTCCATCCACCGATGTGTTGTACTTCTTTAGGTCCAACTCATCCAGAACGTCCTCTGACATCTGCAGCATGAAGGCCAGAGCTGAGCACTGGATCTCAGAGAGTCTCTTTGATCTGTTCTCTGACTTCAGGAACTCTTGGATCTCCTGATGTACTGAGAGGTCGTTCATCTCCATCAGACAGTGGAAGATGTTGATGCTTCTGTCAGGAGAGATTTTATCACTGTTCATCTTCTTCAGACTCTTAATGACTCTCTGGATAGTTTCTGAACTGCTCTCTGTCTGACCCAGCAGACCTCCTAAGAGTCTCTGGTTGGACTCCAGACAGAGGCCATGAAGGAAGCGAACAAACAGGTCCAGGTGGCCATTTTTACTCTGGAGGGATTTCTCCATGACTCTCTTGAGAAACAGACACTCGGATGAAACTTCATCATCATCATCATCATCATCATCACCATCATCAACATCAGATAAAGAATCAAATAGATAATCCTTACAGTCTTTCCCCACAAAGTTCTCCAGCACCTCTGTTTTATGTTCCCAGTCTTTTCCCAGGAACTCTTCCAGCACCTCTGTCTTTCTGTTGGTGAAACAGTGGAACATGTAGACTGCAGCTAGAAACTCCTGAATGCTCAGATGGACAAAGCAGTAGACTGTTTCTGAAAACATGTCATACTCATCAGCTTTAAAGATCTGTGTGAACACTCCTGAGTACACTGAGGCTGCTCTGATATCGATGCCACACTCTGTCAGGTCTGATTCATAGAAGATCAGGTTTCCTTTCTGCAGCTGATCAAAAGCCAGTTTTCCCAGAGACTCAATCATCTTCCTGCTCTCTGGACTCCAGTGTGGATCTGTGGCTTTATCACACTTGATGTCCTTTGTTTTTAGGTGAAATAGCACAAGGCGTATGTAGAGCTCTGTGAGAGTCTTAGGCAGATCTTCGCTCTTTTTGTTCTTCATGACAAACTGCAGAACTGTAGCAGTGATCCAGCAGAAGACTGGGATGTGGCACATGATGTGGAGGCTTCGTGATGTCTTGATGTGGGAGATGATCCTGCTGGCCTGCTCATCATCTCTGAATCTCTTCCTGAAGTACTCCTCCTTCTGTGGGTCAGTGAACCCTCTGACCTCTGTCACCAAGCCAACACAGTCAGGAGGGATCTGATTGGCTGCTGCAGGTCGTGTGGTTATCCAGAGGCGAGCAGAGGGAAGCAGTTTCCCCCTGATGAGGTTTATCAGCAGCACATCCACTGAGGTGGACTCTGTAACATCAGTTAGGATTGTAGTTTTGTGGAAGTCCAGAGGAGGTCGACACTCATCCAGACCATCAAAGATGAACACAACCTGGAAGTCTTCAAAGCTGTAGATTCCTGCTTCTTTGGTTTCAGTAAAGAAGTGATGAACAAGTCCCACCAAGCTGAACTTTTCCTCTTTCAGCAGATTCAGCTCTCTGAAAGTGAATGGAAACATGAACTGGATGTCCTGGTTGGCTTTACCTTCAGCCCAGTCCAGAGTGAACTTCTGTGTTAGGACTGTTTTCCCAATGCCAGCCACTCCCATTGTCAGCACTGTTCTTACTGGTGCTTTTCTTCCAGGTGGGAGTTTAAAGATGTCTTCTTGTCTGATGGTTGTTTCTGGTCTGTCTGGTTTCCTGGATGCTGTTTCAATCTGTCTGACCTCATGTTCATCATTGACCTCTGCAGTCCCTCCCTCTGTGATGTAGAGCTCTGTGTAGATCTCATTCAAAAGGGTTGGGTTTCCTGCTTTAGGGATCCCCTCAAACACACACTGGAACTTCTGTTTCAGGTTTGAATTGAGTTTGAGGTGACAGGCCTGAAGAGTCTCTGGATGAAACAAAAACTGTCAATAAGATCATTGCCTGTAGAGTGGTCTGCACAGTATGAGGAAAAAGTTATTCAACTGCATCTATATGTGAATGTGACTTAAACCCAAGTCTACGGTTATGAAGTTATGACTTCGAGCTAAACTGATTTATTATAACTCATAAACAAATCACTGTGACACACTTATCCCTGGAGTCATTCAAACAAAACTCAGTGTAGGTTAGAAGTTCATGAACCAACAAAAACTTCAGTCAACAGTTAAAAAGCTGGAATCCAGACAACAAAGCCAGATAACTGCATTGGTTAGAGCTGCAGTGACTTATCAAACAAAGAAATATCCTCAAACATTTTGAGTTTTTTATTTTTAGGGTCTTTTAATGCATTTACTATTTTCTTAGCATAGAGATTACACTTTACAGTTGGTAGAAGCTGTTAAATAAGGGAATCAGGATGATTCTTCCTTTACACATCAGCACAGAGGACAAGCGAGGACCCCAGGCCCTCCCTTTATTATTAGCAGAGACATAAGAACCAAAGCAAGGTTGACAGTCTGGCCAACAAACAGCTTGAGTTGAACAGCCCCCAACCAGGATTGTTTATTCTTTTAAGACCTTGTCATTCACTCATATCAGATACAGCTATCATGTTAGCAATTATAAAGAGAGACTCGTAAAAGCTGAGGAAGGTGGTCGTTCAGCACATGTTCCCACATACGACACTGTGACGGTTTGTTTAGGTCTTCAGGGTCTGATGGAGTAAATCCTTCCTCTCAGGGTGAGTCAGGTCTCTCTCCTGACAATGAATTTTTTACCATTAACAAATTAGTTATGTCACAAACCACACAAAGTAAACTCTCTAACAATCCATCCACCATCTTCCATTTATCTGGGTCAGGCCCCCCAAAAAAGGGAGATGGGCCCATCCTCCTGAGAGCTAACCACCTGCAGGAGCCACCGTAGGGGTCAGGTGCAATTTGTGTTGGGCAGGGTCCAGGAGCGGAGACCCTGGCGGACTGACTCCCGATTACCAAAATTAGTGATTGGGATATGGAATTAACCCTCTATCCATCAAATGGAAATAATCCAGTTTCAGTGTCTGAAACGAGGAAACTACTGGGTAACTACTGGCTTCTTGATTTTCACGTTTTTCAGCTCATTCATGAGGAGGTTCATGTGTTTTCACCAACCACAAAGACACAATTTTCATATCAGTGTCTTTGCAGATAACAAACGTGGATCAATCAAAAAGCAACAAACTTTAAATGAGATACAGAAATGTCCAGAGAAATGTAGCTCTGAAGAGAAAAGAGGATTTGTAATTAAAATATTAAGTAAAGGGTTCAATATATTCACAACAGAAAAAAACCTTTATTTACAGTTAAACACACACACAGTTAAATCTCTCAGAATTGAAGTAAACTGAGCAATAAAACCATCATAACAATAAACAGAGCTCACCTGGCTGCGCAGATGGCTCAAAGGACAAATGCAGCTCAGAGGAGAGAGTCGGATCTATGGTCTGAAGATGTCTGATCATTATCCTGGAGGCAGTTCCTCCTTTTTTCTTTACTGTGTCAATCAAGTCACGAGCCTTATCTGCTGTGACCGAGTTCCCCTCCACTATTGATGCTTTCTCCAGATCATTCAGGACACGGTCCGTTACCAGAGCCTCCAGGAGCTGTGTGACGATTTCTTTTGAAACCCTCCAAACAAAGCTGCACCGTACCCTGCTGAGCTCATCCTCTACAGGAAAAAAGAGACATAATAAGCATGCATCCTACCTCACTCTTTGAAGGAAATGACAGCTACGATTGGTCAGTTTGAGCTTTGTGTGTTTCTGTGTTAATGTCCTAAAATACTGAGCTCCTACCTGCGGATGGAGCTGATAAAGCTGGCTGGTCTGGTTCAGACTCCATCTTTGATCTATGACAGAATGCGGTACAGTGAATCAGGATCAGCTGGTCTCATATCACTTATTGCAACACATCATAGCACCCCGGTTTCTGATGGAATCTTCTGTTTACACACTGCAGTGAAGTTATAGTACTGAGAAAACCTGCGGCTGATGTAGAATTACCAGTACTGGCTAGAAATATTTGGGTTCACCTCAACAAACAGGTCATGTTAGAAGCAGTTTCTTGGATTAAGGCTGGACTCTGTTCTACTTTCTCTTTCTCTCTTTCTCTGTTTCTCTTGTTGAGAGGCAGCGAACAGGGGTGGGTATACTTTTATATATATGGCCCCAGCTCTGTGTTTGGATATTGGGTTTCTCCAGAGGATGAGGAAGTTTTTTCCCTGGACCAATTAACGGGTCCTCATTGTTGGTTTTGCTTTGTACCACAAACAATAGTTCAGAATACTCAGCCATCTTGCAGTCCCTGAAAGGTGTTTGGGAAGAACGATCTACCTTATGTGAACCCAACTGATGTTCGGGTATTTGTAATCATATCACAAGACCTGCAGCTCTACACCTTGTACACTCAGCAAGTGAAGCTTGGTTTTCACTTGCTACCTAGGGGTGAGATGGACCAGATGGTGGAGAAGGCCTGGCCCATTCAAACATATGAGTGTCGGCTGGGAGCATCTGGCAGAGGTCCCAGTCTGGAAGAGCTCCAAGCTTTAACAGCATTTTAAGGGAGTTTAGGGACACTGAATCCTGATGTACCATCTTCCAAATGTGGTATCTAACCGGGGCCGTTTTTCCATTCTCAAGTATGCAAGTCCATTCTTCATAAGTTCACATGGGAGTCCAGGCTTTCCGAGAATGCAGCACAATACTTTTTAATTATTTCATTTGCATTTTTTAATCACTAGGGTTTGAGAGTAACGAAATTTCTATTCTCTGTATGTCCTGTACATGTGGCAGAATTGACAAATAAAGTTGACTTGACTTGACAATCATTCTACAATTGGAGCAGCGGTGTACTTCATGACATCAGGAGTTTTTACTGCCGCCCCCTCTGAACTGTGATTAATATTTGGAATGGAAATTACACATGATGTAGTTAAATCTCTTTTTTTTTTAAGTGACTTTGACAAAATTGGCTTTTCTGTATTGTCTGTTTCATAATGTCTAATAAACTTCATACAGTTAAACACAATCACTACATGACTGAAACACAAGCTTAATCCATCTTAATAAACATAGTACACATGTATGCCTGAAACAAACAGGTTAGAACGCTTTTATTTCTATTTTAGTAAACACTCAAACCTACAGCACACAGCTGCTGGGGTTTGGAAGAGAACTGAACAAATATTTCAAATATAATGTGATCATTGTTGGAGCACTTTTCAGGATCTCCACGTATTACCATGCTGTTTTTGTTCCCAGGGAAAATGTTTCCTCGTGAATTTTTAGTGTTAGATTAAATTCAGTTAGCTGTTTAAATAAGAACAGAACATTTTACATCAGGGGATATAACAGAAATATACTGACAGCTCTCCAAGTATGATGTCAATATCAATATTAACCCTGGAGAACCCATGGGGTCCAGATGAACACATTCAACTTTTGGGGATTAAAGGTAGAATGGGAGGCAGAGCCTTCAGTTTTCAGGCCCCTCTTCTGTGGAACCAGCTTCCAGTTTGGATTCAGGAGACAGACACTATCTCTACTTTCAAGATCAGGCTTCAAACTTTCCTTTTTGCTAAAGCATATAGTTAGGGCTGCACCAGGTGACCCTGAATCCTCCCTTAGTTATGCTGCAGTAGACGTAGGCTGCTGGGGGATTCCCATGATGCACTGGGTGTTTCTTCTTCACTCACTATGTATTAACAGACCTCTCTGCATTGAACCATATCTGTTATTAACCTCTGTCTCTCTACCACAGCATGTCTTTATCCTGTCTTCCTTCTCTCACCCCAACCAATCACAGCAGATGGCCCCGCCCCTCCCTGAGCCTGGTTCTGCTGGAGGTTTCTTCCTGTTAAAAGGGAGTTTTTCCTTCCCACTGTCGCCAAAGTGCTGCTCATAGAGGGTCATATGATTGTTGGGTTTCTCTCTGAATCTATTATTGTAGAGTGGGCCGTACAATATAAAGCACATTGAGGCGACTGTTGTTCTTGTTATTTCAGGCTTTATAAATAGAACTGAATTGAAAATGATTTGCAGTCACTTAGAGGACCATGAACCCCTCTGTACCCCAAAGTATTCTGCAGTCTAAGGCGAGGTCATCTGCCCTACAGCCAACTTGGGACAGCAATAGGAAAAGTGATGGAAAGTGGAGGGATGGATATTTGTATTTAATATATAAAAACTGAATTTAAACTTTCAGATTTTAATGAGCGCATCTTGAACTAACCCTCAAATAAAATATAAGATTTGTGTCACACAAGGCAACTCAAGAGTCTGATGTGACTGTTCCTGAGTTTAAATCTGAAGGTTTTGCCATCAGCACTGAACTCTGGAACAACCTGCTCGAGGACAAAAGCCTTTCAGCATCAGCTGCTTGCTTTGAATCAGCTCTGCTCTCATATGTGGACATCTGCCCTGTTGTGACTCAAAAACCTAAATCAAACTCAGTGAGTGTCAGTCATATTCAGTAGTTTGTTTCTTCCCATTTTAGTTTGAGAAAATATTTTAATCAACAAACTTTACGTTTCGATGTTGGTTTTATGGGACTTTTTATTCCACTTAGCTTTGCTCTAAATCCTAAAGGCAGGATAAGAAGACCCGAGCTGTGGGGGAATATTTTAGAAGGCTTTTCCATGACTTTGGCAGAAAACAGCCTGATGTGGAGGAGAACTGATGAGGGCTGAGAAGTGAAGCTTAGACAGTTGGACTATTTCACAGTGTGAGGCTGGACGTGGGAGACGTTCATCTGCTCTCCAGCAGCCTGAAAGCGGACTGCAGACACAGGCTGTTACATCGTTCACACACCAGTGTGTCAGATAAAGAAGAACCTCAGAGGGGAAGTGACGTGTGCGTCTCTGCTGCTGATCCAGAGTAACTTCTCCTTTATTCAGACTTCCTGTGACTGACGTTTGTCTCTAACATCCTGAAGCGTGCAGTACACACACAGAAGTCACTTTGACAAAGCTCGGCATCTTTAGAGAGCTTTGATGCTGATTCACTCACATCAGCAGGTCACTGCACTGGATGGAAAACACAGCATTAATGAACATGTCCTCCTGTAAAGGACAATTCAGTGTCTCCTCTGCTAAAGGAGGCAATAAAGGAAGCACTGAAGCTCCTTCCTTTAGTTTTCGAGACTTCAAATGGCTCCATCCGTGGCTGCAGAGACTTCAGGTCTATTCAGCTGTTATCTGCTTTTAGAGGGGCGGAGTCTTTATCAGCACATGTTATTAACCTGACCAGTGGGTGGAGCCCACAGGTTTTATGACTTGTTGTATCCTGAGGGGTGTGAGGTTAATGTGTCAGTGAGGCGTAGCCTTCACACATAAATGCTGTACACATACAGAGATTCATGCAACGCCTTTACTTTTGAGTTATATTTACATGTTCAAAATACAACTATCCAAAAGCACCATGGTAACGTATTCTGAACAGCTCACCTGGTCAGGAGCAGGCGATGTGCAGCGTGCTGGTGGGATAAACCCGCCTCCGTCTCAGAGAGAAGATCCTGATTTCCTCATCTTGGTCATCAGCTGCTGGATCTGTGCTCCTCCCCTGTCCATTTACAGGAGTCAGATGACTACATAAGAGGAAGTGTGCGTCTTGGAGACATGAGCGCTCTCAGGTGACGATGTCTGAGCTGTATTTGATCATCAAACCTGTAAAATTGTTTCTCTGACTCCAGCTTCAGCCCACAACCTCAGAGCTCCTGCTCACCCTCACAGACCATGAAATGCCCCCGGATCCACCCAGGCAACAGTAAACCAGCTGTTGACCCACAGGAAGTGAGGAAACAGGAAATATGGCGCTGATGTGACAAGAGAATCTTACAGAACCAGAGGTGGCGATTTCTGCTGAAACTTCATGGCTCTAAAGGCGGCGCCGTCACGTCTTGTTCTTCACTTTTCTGACGCCTTTCATGTTTCCACACTGCTGCACGCACCCACCCACCCCCACTCGGTCTGTACAAACACAACTCCAGCTTTCATCACAGGAGGGCATGAAGCCCGCTTACACAACCAGGCATCACAGGAAACAGAGCCAGTCGTTACGAAACACACAGCAAATACACTGAAACACTGAGGTGGTCATGTGACTGTTGCTATGCACACAGAACAGAATGAGGCGAGAGCAACATGTAAAATATTTTATTTTTCTGTAAATGATTCTAAATCAGAGTCACCATATTTCCCAAAAACAAACATCTTCATCATCACGGTTACGTCCAGTAATAATAAAAAAGGCTTCGTGTCGTCTCTGTACACATCAGCAGTCTCCTATGTACACGGCAGCGGGACTCGGCGCCTGAAGGCCGCGGTGACGCCTGCCCGACTCGCTTCACAGTCCGTCCAATCGGGATGCGGTGCCGGGTCAGCAACACAAACTGTACTTGAAACGCTGCAGCTGATTGGCGGTGGTGAGGATGGTGGAGGGCTTCTTAAACTCTGTGTGCAATTCTCTCATCTATGGTACACGTATTTACACACCGCCACACCGGACCTCGAACGCACCGCAGGTTTAGAAAATAGCTTCATTCAGTAATAAATACAAAAAAACTCTTATTTTACAGGAAATTAACAAATGGAGGTGGGCGGGGCAGGAGTGGGGTGGGCGGGGCCAGGGAATAAAGTCTCTATTTTTCTTGTTTTTGTGTTTTAGTGCAAGTTAAAGACAACACATTCTCTGATCTCAAATTTACATCTGTGCTCATTTTTACACACAATATACACAGAGGACCAGCCTCTTTAAGCCCCGCCCACTCTCCAACACAGCTACGCCCTCAGAAACAAGCTTCTGACACCACCCATGCGCATATATAACCCCCACCCTGACCTGTTATCCCCATCATCAATATTATTATCATTACTTGTGTTATCAAAGCAATCACTTTCATTATTATCACTGTGTTGATATGAAGTTAAGCTCCGCCCACAGGGGAGGCGATCGACAGAGAGCGAGCTGCCTGTGTGTGTGTGTGTGTGTGTGTGTGTGTTCAGTTCATCCATTTGCGGCAGTTGACGGCTCCGCAGTGACACGGGATCTTATGCTGATCGTCCTCCAGGTCGAACTTGTAGTCGTAGCACAGCTGGAGAGGGAGGGGCAGTAATCAGTAACCACACACGCTCTGAGATGCTGACTGATGGAGGGCGGGCCTTACCTCTTCTCCTCTCTGGATGCGTCTGCAGGAGCTGATGATGATCTTGTTCTCCTTCTCCACAGTCACCACCTCAGTGATACAGTTGGGAGCACATGAGTGGTTGATGTACCTGCCAATCACACACAGAGGCGGGTCTTTCACAGGTCAACAGACCAATCAACACTATTAAAAATTCCTGCACCCTGCTGGGATCCTTCATCAGGTTTTCACTTTGAGCTCTCTGAGTTTATCAGAACTCGGCTGGTTCAGGTATTTATCAATGCAGAGCCACCTGAGCAGCCGCCCCCCCCCGAACACACCTGAACTTGGACTTGGGGCAGCCAAATATCCCAGAATGCATTTAGTCTGAAACTCAAACGTGGGGATGTCGGAGGAGAGCGGATAAAAATTTGGGACCGTGACATAAATAAAGTTTTAATGAATGTTGATAAGTAAATTTCAAATATCTGCTCGACTTATCTGGACATGACATCTGTAAGAAGTGCTCTGCTCTTTCAGAGACGTCCATTACCCCACCAGCTGTCAGCTGACCGAGAGGTCAAGGGTCACTAGAGCCAGTGAGAACGCCTCACTTCCGGCACAATAACACACGAGGTATACACGTCACCAAGATAACATGTTAACGTTTGGTTTATTCCCGAGCGGCTCATCGCATGTGACTTTCTTACATCACGTGTGATTTCCACTGCAAACATGAATCAGTAAAATTCAGAGGGGCAGTAAAAACACTGGAGCTGAGCTGTGATGTCATCACGTCACGCCTCAGCGGTTTGTGTCCTGGAGCGAGGACACTTTCAGGTGTGTTTTCCCAACACCATGAGCACTCAGAGCGAGGGCGGAGCTGCGACCCTTCCACAGCCCCGCCCTCACCTGTGAGCACCAGATGAAAGGAAAGTTTCCTCTGAGGAGTGTCTGAGCACGACAGGTGAGGAGCTCAAATTGAGCTGCTGCTCACCCACAGCTTTAAAACACCAGAACACCTGATGCGTCCCAGGAGAGGTGTTTCAAGTCCCCCAGCAGGGGGCGCTCACCTGAGCGTCTGTACAGGAAGGGCTCATTGGGTCATATGTGTGCAGGTCTGAGATCAGCACTGAACCGGTCTGAGCTGGACTCACCTGGCGGGTCCCCCGGTGATGGTGGCGTCGATCACGTAGTCGTTGTCGATCCGGAACATGTACACGCCGCGATTCTGCACACAGACACACAACCCGAGTGAAAGACATGACCCTCTGGAGGTGAGACGTGCAGGCCCCACCCCCTTCACACAGATGTCACTGACTGTTTATGTTTGTGTGACATGTGAACAAACCAATCAGATGACAGCTTTCAGTCGACGTGACTCCGATCTGAACATCAGAAGTCGCAGACCTGTGTGTGTTACCTGCGATTCGTACAGCCTCTCCTTGCGATTGGCTACTTCACTCCTGATGATGGTCCCGATGTATTCGATGACCATGGTGCACTTCTCGATGTCTCTGGCAGCGTACAGTCCGAGACCCTGCGAGCACACACACAAACACAGTCAGCTTCCTGTCTTGCGTTGGCGGTCAAGTGTTCGGGCTGTGCTGCAGGTGACCCACCTGGATGCGGGAGCGTGCCAGGTACACATTGCTCTTCCACTCAGCCTTCATGCGGCGGTACTGCGAGGACTTGGAGTGGCGTCCCTGGTGAGCGCCGGCCACGGACTCGCCCGGAGACAGAGAGATGACGCCGGGGACGAGGCCCACGATGGAGCCCACCGAGCCCTGACACCTGGGGGCGATGCTGGCCAGCAGGTAGGGTCTGAGGGGGGAGAGGAGGGCGTCAGGCAGCTGTGGGTGCGCTTTACAGAAACCTGTGACGGAGGCCTGAGCAGATCTCTGTCCCAGCCACACTGACGATGTCACAACACAATGCAGAGCAGCTACACTTTGCCCCACCCGCCCGCCACTTCCATCAGCAGCTTGACACAAAGTGACATCATTGCTTCAGAGCACGTACCTTTTGGCCTGACAGGCTTTGGGTTCGGAACGGGCGGAGCCTGACGGGTTGAAGGCCAGAGGCCACTCCATGAGGGGGTTCCTGCCGTAACGAAAGGTGTAACGCTCACAGGCCTCCACGCCAGGTAACTGAAACACACAGAGAACAGGTGAGTCTGGGTCCCTGTTTGAAGGTGTGTGTGTGTGTGTGTGTGTGTGTGTGTGTGTGTGTGTGTGTGTGTGTGTGTTGTGTGTGTGTGTGTGTGTGTGTTGTGTGTGTTGCTGTGCGGGGTGATTCAGACTCTATGATTCGGGTCACCGCAGACGTGGTCAGACCAAACAGATCTTCTCCTTTCAGGTAAACTGGGAACAGCTTCAGAGTCCCGCTGGAGATCCTCATCTGGGAGACGGGATGCAGGATCTGATCACACCGACAACAGCTAGCACACAGTACACACACACACACACACACTTGGGCACGACACGCACACACACACACACACACACACACACACACACTTTGGGTCATCGCCGTGCTCCTGAGGAGCAGCAGTGCTTCTGATGACAGTCGGTGCAGACACACAGGTGATGGTTACCTTTGGGCGTGGGTCCGGTCAGAATGAGGTCATCGTGTCCTTTCTCCACCACCTTAACCTTGAACAGCGGCTGCCCCTCCTCCTCCTCGATGTAACACATGTACTTACAGCGTCTGCGGAGCACGAGCAGAGAGCCATCAGACCGACCAATCACTGCTGACGTCTACCTGTGATCAGACCAATCACTGCAGAGGGAGGTAAACACCCTCTCACACTGTGGTTGGTAATCCGACACCTCCATCACTACTCTGTGTCAGACCGCCTTCTTCCTGTTGCAACCTTTCACAGTAAAAGCTCCTAACATAAACATCTTCCTGCAGATCTAAACTTTGTCTTCCGTCAGAGAAAAGTGGGCGGTGTGATGTAGCACAGCGGTGGGCGTGGCAACCGCACATTGATTCTGATTGATAATCTGCACGCTGCTGCTCTTACCTGTTGCTGTGGCGCATGCTCCAGTAGATACGGTTAGCATGGTAACCGACGGGGAAGATGGCCGTCTCGTTGTGGAAGGTTCTCATCTGCTGTGGGAGGAGCCTGCCGATGGCACGGAAAAGCAGGCTGCCGACCCTGAAGGTGTGCTGCCGCTCACCACGCTGCACCACGGCTGCGATCTGGCGCGCCTCGTCCCGCTGCACGAACACTCGGCGGAACACCGCGAAGCATCGCAGCTCTGAGTCGTACGGGTCAGAGGCCATCACAGCCGCCGGGTCAGGGGCAGAGCCGGGAGTGGAGGAGGGTGAGCTGCCGCAGGACCTGTCCCCGCTGAGAGGAACCATCCTGGGTTTATGGAGGTGGCAGAGCATGGTCTTATCCTGGAGAAGAGAGGAGGCGCAGGGTGAGGAGGAGTGCCCGGTGGGCGTGAGCTCAGGTGTAACTCGGCCTTGCACTTACCTTGAAGAAGGTGCACTGGGCCTGCGAGGCGCAGGTGAAGTGGTAGGTGTTGGTGCAGCGGAGGCGGTTGCAGCCGCTCGTGGCGCCGGTCTGCTGGCAGTGAGCGCAGCGCAGCGTCAGTCCTCGCCTCAAAGCCAGCTCCACGTTGATGAGTGCACCCGCCTGAGTCTCGTACACCTCGCTGGACCACAGGGCGCAGTTAAGGTGCACCTGGGACACAAACACATGGACGACAGGTGAATGTGCCGCACCGCGTCGCCACCGGAGACTCCGAGCAGAGAGCGGCGCACTCACCCACAGATCCAAGTCCAGGTTCAGGAGCCTGGCCGGTCCGTCTGTCTGGCCATCGCCCTGCTGGTGACAGAAGCAGCACCTGCGCTGGTCTCTGGGTAATGGGTCTGGACGAAGACACGCCCCCAGGTTCTTCAACAGCTCATCCACTTCATCCTGTGTTGGCAAGGCAACCGCCTCATTAGAGATGCAAGTACCCCTGCGTGAAAAAGAGAAAGATTACTGATGACAGAACATCCAGGTCTGATAACGCGCAGCTGAGGGCGTCGTGGTGCCACGTGCCACAGTGGTCATTGCTGGAGCAGAGGCTCCGCCCCTTCCCCCACAGGTGCCAAAAACTAGTAGGTGAGGTTCAAATGAGGTCCCTAACATACCTGCTCAGTGTGATGTTAACACTCCAGCGTCGCCAGCGGGAACTCTTCATCCTCTTTCCATGGCACGATGACAGTGAGTCCTCCTCACCTGGGACTGCCCAGGGGCGGGGCTTCAACTTTACCTTCACCTGTAAGCCGGTCAAATAGTCAGTCTTCAAATCAATGACCTGACTCAGTACAATGTTAGTTCACAGGTAACCACGCCCACCTTGAGGCTGTCCATGCGAGGCCTGGTCTCCATGGTGATGGCAGAGGCAGATGGGAAGAAGAGAGGTGGGGTGGAGGAGGATGTCGGGGGAGGCGAGGAGGGAGCACGGGGGAGGGCGTGGACGGCAATGGAGGACATGTTGTTGGTGTACTGGTGCTGCACCCTGGTGGGAGGGGGGCACTCGGAGCCGGAGAGCAGGACAGGGACTGCAGACTGACAGCGGGACAGGTGTTAAAGCAGTGCATTGTGGGAAATCTACCTGAACTCCTGACCCCAGACTAAACTGCACCAGGGGAACAACAAACCAAGAAGAAGAAAACAAGAAAACACACCCACCCCCCACAGCAGCCAATCGTAACAGCTACCACTATGATTATAACTAAACCATTGTCTGTGCCTAATCTCAGCGCCAAACACATCAGCCAAATGAAGGCTGGGACACCTGCGGTGTGGGCGGGGCCTCACCTTGGTGCCTGCAGACCTGCTCTGGAGGTCGTTGGTGTAGAGGGTGGAGCAGTTGGGACTGCAGAAGAGCAAGCTGGAGCCGGGTCCGGACTGACCCTCCTGTAACACACACACAGAGGGTGACTTCCTGTCCACTGTGAGGTCACTCTGACCGTCTCCTCTGAGGCGTCTAACCTGTTTGAGCTCCCTGACAATGCGGACTCCGTTTCCCAGCAACACCTTGCAGTAGCTGCAGCACTGAGACCTGGTGGTGGCAGCGCCGCCCTGCTGGCTGAAGTCCATTCTGACACCTGTAGACACGGTTAGATATGAACAGATGCACAGGTGTGTGCGTGCGTGAGTGTGCGAGTGTGTGTGCAGACCTGTGTTTCCTGTGGCGGCCGCTCTCTGTTTTGTGGCGGATGAACCCTGTGAACACATCAAACAGCTGTCAGTCACCTGGAGAGACGCTCAGCGCCGACAGCGATGAAACAATGCTGCGGGGTGCAGCGATCTCACCTGCGTCAGCGGCACCTGCACGCTCGCCAGCAGGGCCAGAGAGCTCTGCTCGGGACCGGACGCTCGGCTCAGCTGGTAGTTCACAGGGACTGGGACCCGCAGCAGCTCCGCCACTGCCGCCATCACTCCTGGAACGTTCTGGAAACAGAGGGTCACAGCAATGACGACCAGGGGGAGGGGCTACTGATACATCAACATTAATAGCAAGAGATGTTTACCTGGGCTGCAGTGGGGTTCAGGGTTATTGCTATGGTAACCAGGTCTGTGTTCGAGCAGGAAGGAAGTCCCTGATGGTTGGTCTCAGTCTTCACTTCCTGTTTGACTGCAGAGCCTGCACACAGGTGAGCAACAGGTGAGCATCAGTCAGAACAGACAGGCGACATCTTCCAGTCACGCTGTGGCTGACTCACCTTTCCCCCAAGCACAGGGGATCATGGGTAGTGTAGGCGACGGGCAGGGTGAGGGAGGCTCCAGCTTGATGAAGGACAGGTCGGGGTACCGGCTGACCTCTATGTCCGCCACGCTCTCCGGGGACGACGATGGAACGTAGCTGTCGGGGTCATCTTGCTCTGACGAGTCCTGGACCCTGAGGATGAGAAATCACAAAGAAAAGTCAGCACGACTCAAGACGACGACGAGGCATTTGGCTTCACATCTGAGGGGCGGGGCTAACCTGAGCTCCTCCTGGTTGTTGTGGGGTGGGGTTGGGAGGGAGGCAGGCACATCCACTGTCTTGGAGGGATGGTTTAAATTGAGAAGCTCCTCCCCTTTCAGCTTCAGAGCAGACACACCTTTCACTGAGGTAGAAACAGGAGGAAGAGATCAGCTGTTGCTCTCGTGCAGCTGTCAGGTGTCCACATACTTACGGCCACACTGTCACAGCTGCACAGGCTAACCTGTGCCTGTCAGACAAAGAAGAGGGTCAAATAAGCCTCTCACCATCCTGCTCGCCGACCTCCTTCCTGGTCAGCTCCTCTGTCGTGGCGAAACCGTTCACCAGTTTCTGCCTGGCAACAGGAGGCGGCGTCGGTGGCAGGGAGGCCGGAGGAGTGGGGGGGTTACTGAGGTTGTTCTGCTGGAGGAGCAGACAGGAAGTGATGTAAAATTAAACAGCAGTACCACACCATTACTAAAGTATTACCTCAGTACCCATGCAGCGGTACCTTGTATATGAGCTGGGAGTAGTAGTCGGTGACTCCATCCAGGCAGGCGTTGCCGAAGGAGCCGCTCAGCCTGGAGTCTCGGCCCAGAGAGGAACTGCCGTATGGGGGGAACAGACTGAGATCCACCCCCAGGACCGGCTCCATGAGAGGCAGCACTGCCAGCTGTTGATGGAGGGGAGAGGTTTAAACTTTCAGACATCTGCTTCCTGCTCAGTAAACAGGAGGAGGCGGGGCTCTACCTGTCTGAGGTGTGTCACCACCGGGTCAGAGGAGGAAGAGGTGGAGCAGGATTGGAGTAGCTTCTCCTCCTCCTCCTTCTTCTTCCTTTTGTACTTGGGAGGAGCTCGGTCTTTGTCGGGCCGGGCGGGTCTCTTGCAGCGTTGCGTCTTCTTCCTGCCGAAGGCGTCCAGCAGCTCTGAGGCAGGACCGTCCCTCACCACCTGGAGGTGGAGCACATGATCAGCTTTTTTAACTAAAAGGTCACATGACATTCCATTTGTCTGCCCTGGCCACCTCCTCACCATGTTGCCATGGGAACCAGGTGCATCTTCCTCTTCAGATCGACAGCCATCGCTGGAAAGCTGTCGCCGGGCGATAGGCGGAGCTTGGGTGATGGGCGATGGCGTGTTGGCAGGGGAGGTCTTGTCCCTTAGCAGGTGTCTGAGCAGCTCCTTACCTGCATCGCCTGCCTGATGAGGAGACGTGGGGGAGAACGGCTCTGCCCGGCCCTCCTCCATCTTCACCACCCTGGCTCCACAGGCTGCGGCCTCCTCGCGCTCCTCCTGCAGAGAGACCCAGGAAAGTGACACACAATACCATAGTTCATCCACTATCACAGCATCACTACAGTACCACTGCAGCACAAGTGGGATGAAATGTGAAAACAAGCGCACCTTGACCTTCAGCAGAGCTGCAGACAGGGGCCCTCTCTGGCACTCTGAGCCCAGCCCGGAGGCTCTCTGCTGGGCTGCAGAGATGATGGACAGCTGCCTCTCCAGCTCTGATGATGGGGCCAGACCAGAGAGGGAGGAGCTCTGAGGGAAAGACAGCTCTGATTGGTCCATGCTGCCAAAGGTGGGTGTGGAGCACGCAGTGTCAGAGACAGCAGGGGTGGGAGGGGCAGTGAGGTCATCCGATTGCGAGGACAGTGGCGTCCTGGCCCCCCCTCCTCCTGTGGCTTCCTCCCCGTCCTTCTTCCTACTCCTCTTCTTATTCGGTTTATTGTCCGGGATGATGTCAGAATACAGCTGGATGAGGGAGGCGGGGCCACCAGAGGAGGAGCAGGGGAAGGAAGTGGCCAGAGGAGTGGAGGGAGAGGAAGAGGAGGAGTCGTGTCCGAATAGATGTCCCTGCCCTGCCGAATGGGAGGAGGGCATTCCTGCTGCTCCTATCCCAGCTGGGTGTGCCTGCCCTGGGGCTGAGGGTCCTGTCAGGCCAGGCAGCCTCGGCCTGGTCTGGAGGCTGGAAGGAGCCACGTTCATGGGGGGTTCACCTGTTGGAACAGGGGGCGCTCCAGGGAGTAGAGGCCTCGCCGTGAAGCCTTGGCGGAGGCCCGCCTGCAGGGGAAAGGTCACTGCCATCTGGCTGTGGTGCTGAGGTCGAGGTCTGGAGGTCTGGAGGAAGTCCTGGGGCAGCTCGGAGCTGAAAAAGGGCATCTGAGACAAACCGTCCCCTCCAGGGGCAGGACCCGCTGTCGGTCCCACCTGAGGACCCGACGGAGTTGCGGCAGGAGGCACGGAGGCCCCCAAGAGGCTCTGCTGCTCCAGCTCCAGTCTCTGCTGCAGGACGCGGTGACGCTCCACCTGGAAGCACATCAACAGGATTCATGAGCAGGAGGAGGCTGCAGACACCTCTGACCTTTAACCCCTGACAACCACACTTTATTCATACACACAACAATGACATACTCATGTGGTCTAATCTGTTCTCGTGGATGTAACCAGGCCTCCAGACTCCTTCTTACCGTAACCCACATTTCTAACATTGACACCTCTGCTGGAGCTCCTTGCTCCCTCCTTGTCTACCATTCAACCATCTTCAAGTTTGACTCTCCTCCAAGGATCGGATGTACCAATAAGGATTCAATCTGTCTGTCAGCTCCACCCTCTTCCCACTGTCCTCGTTAAAAACCGTCAGACCTCATTGGCCCCCATTATCATCACTATTACTCAGTCTTCCCTCAGTACTGGACTTGTTCCTTCATCATTGAAACCTGCCTCCTTTACTCCCATTCTTAAAAAGCCTGGTACAAATAAATTCATTTAAATATCCGATCTCCTCTTTGTTTCCTAAACTCTTGAGAAAACTGTCTCCTCTCGGCTTCACACACGTCTCAGTAACAACAATAATCTCTATGAACAACTCCAGTCTGCTTTCCATCCACTTCACAGGGAACGACTATTCAAAACGACCAACGTCCTGATGGCAGCTGACTCCAGTTTCCTCGCCATCCTCCTCCTTCTTGAGCTGAGCCGTTGATTTCCCACACCATCCTCTGGAAAGACTGCCCTCCCTGCCTGGTTCACCTCAAGTTCATTTCCCGTTTCTGCCGGTGTTCCCCAAGGTTCAGTGTTGGGGCCTCTGTTATTCATCACTGAAGTGCTTCCACATAAATATTAGCTTTCACTGCTACACAGCTGACACTCAGCTGTATGTTCCTTCCAAACCCAGTCTCACCCTTCCACCCATACCCTCTCTCCCTGCCTCAGTGAGGTTAAATCATGGCTCTCCTCCAGTGTCTCACACTCAGCAGTAATATAGGGAGTGCAGAATTATTAGGCAAATGAGTATTTTGTCCACATCATCCTCTTCATGCATGTTGTCTTACTCCAAGCTGTATAGGCTCGAAAGCCTACTACCAATTAAGCATATTAGGTGATGTGCATCTCTGTAATGAGAAGGGGTGTGGTCTAATGACATCAACACCCTATATCAGGTGTGCATAATTATTAGGCAACGTCCTTTCCTTTGGCAAAATGGGTCAAAAGAAGGACTTGACAGGCTCAGAAAAGTCAAAAATAGTGAGATATCTTGCAGAGGGATGCAGCAGTCTCAAAATTGCAAAGCTTCTGAAGCGTGATCATCGAACAATCAAGCGTTTCATTCAAAATAGTCAACAGGGTCGCAAGAAGCGTGTGGAAAAACCAAGGCGCAAAATAACTGCCCATGAACTGAGAAAAGTCAAGCGTGCAGCTGCCAAGATGCCACTTGCCACCAGTTTGGCCATATTTCAGAGCTGCAACATCACTGGAGTGCCCAAAAGCACAAGGTGTGCAATACTCAGAGACATGGCCAAGGTAAGAAAGGCTGAAAGACGACCACCACTGAACAAGACACACAAGCTGAAACGTCAAGACTGGGCCAAGAAATATCTCAAGACTGGTTTTTCTAAGGTTTTATGGACTGATGAAATGAGAGTGAGTCTTGATGGGCCAGATGGATGGGCCCGTGGCTGGATTGGTAAAGGGCAGAGAGCTCCAGTCCCACTCAGACGCCAGCAAGGTGGAGGTGGAGTACTGGTTTGGGCTGGTATCATCAAAGATGAGCTTGTGGGGCCTTTTCGGGTTGAGGATGGAGTCAAGCTCAACTCCCAGTCCTACTGCCAGTTTCTGGAAGACACCTTCTTCAAGCAGTGGTACAGGAAGAAGTCTGCATCCTTCAAGAAAAACATGATTTTCATGCAGGACAATGCTCCATCACACGCGTCCAAGTACTCCACAGCGTGGCTGGCAAGAAAGGGTATAAAAGAAGAAAAACTAATGACATGGCCTCCTTGTTCACCTGATCTGAACCCCATTGAGAACCTGTGGTCCATCATCAAATGTGAGATTTACAAGGAGGGAAAACAGTACACCTCTCTGAACAGTGTCTGGGAGGCTGTGGTTGCTGCTGCACGCAATGTTGATGGTGAACAGATCAAAACACTGACAGAATCCATGGATGGCAGGCTTTTGAGTGTCCTTGCAAAGAAAGGTGGCTATATTGGTCGCTGATTTGTTTTTGTTTTGTTTTTGAATGTCAGAAATGTATATTTGTGAATGTGGAGATGTTATATTGGTGTCACTGGTAAAAATAAATAATTGAAATGGGTATATATTTGTTTTTTGTTAAGTTGCCTAATAATTATGCACAGTAATAGTCACCTGCACACACAGATATCCCCCTAAAATAGCTAAAACTAAAACACTAAACTCTTCCAAAAACATTCAGCTTTGATATTAATGAGTTTTTTGGGTTCATTGAGAACATGGTTGTTGTTCAATAATAACATTATTCCTCAAAAATACAACTTGCCTAATAATTTTGCACCCCCTGTAAAACTGAAGCTTGTCAGCACAGGTTACAGGTTTTCCATTAATACTGACAACACCTCCACCCCCCCTCAGGGTAACAGTCTGGGTGTCCTCCTCGACAGCACTTCCTCCTTTCCTCGCCCCACATGCTGCTCCTATCCTCGTCACTTCTCAGATACTGTAATTCTGATTTCTCGCGATCATAACTCGCACAGCCTCCAGAGAGCGCATCACCCTCTTCTTCATCAGCTGCACTGCCTGTAGATGCTCGAGTCTCCTTCACTTGACGTGTATCCACAACCTGGTCCCTCCCTACTTGTGTGATTTACTCCACATTTACTCCCTTCATTCACCGATGTCTTCACCTCATTGTTCCCGTCTCACCACTAAGAGGAACAGAGCTTTCAGCTGCTCTGCTCCCCGACTTTGGGATTCACCTCCTCCTGAACTCAGCGATACTGGCTCTCTTCCCTTATTAGAGTCTAAACCCATCTGCTTAAACTGGTTTACTCTCTTTAACACCGACTCCAGTCTAATGCTCTGAGTGTGTTTGAGGAAACACACTGCGCTCCGTCTCACTCCTCTTTACATTTAACTCTTCCTGGTTCCTAACCAGGGCGTGCTCCAGCTGTGAGAGCATGAACGTCTTCATGTTGTGGGTAAACAGAAACTTGTGGAGTCAGAGGGGACGCGCTCTATGAGGAGGAGCTCTGCTGACTGAGGCCCAGCTTGCTCTGCTCCTCCTCCTCCGTGATGTTTTACCTCCTGCATGAGCTGAACCCGCTGCCTCTCCTGCTGCTCCCTCAGCCTCTCCCTCCTCTCCCTCTCCTGGAAACCCTCGCTGAACGGGTTGTTGTCGTCAAACTTGACCTGTGGAGGAGGCGGAGTCAGAGGGGTTAGCCAGCGCCCAGGAGCAGCCTAAGCTCACATGAAGCAGTGTTACTGCAGGGTCCCCCCCTCATTGGCTTTTCTAATACAGATGTTCAGAGATACATAAAAGTTGGACTGACAAATCCAGATGTGGACCGGCATTAGACTGAACTTCCTGTGGGGTCTCCTGTGCTGATGGAGGTATGAGGGCTCAAACATATGGAGATAATCCCCCCTCCCCATCTGATTTATGATGAGAGTCTGGTTCTGGATCAGGTCTAGATCACAGTGGGGTGCAGCAGCCATGTTTGTTACCTGAGGGGCAGGGCCAGCTCCATCCACTGTGGCTCCATTGGGACCTCCGGTGGGGCCTCGGGAGGCGGTAGTAAAGCCTGCCGTCTGAGCTGCGAGGCCCGGCACTATGGCAGAGGGCGCCTGGGTGTGTGGGGGTACTTGCGGGCTGTTGGGTAGGGCGGCGGGGAGTTGAGGGGGTTGATGAGGCGGCATCCTCTGCCCCATCACCCCTGGAGCCCCACCCCCTGGAGTCCAACCGGGAGGCACATTTGGGAGACGGGCCGGTGCGGGGCCGCCCGGGTGGGGTTGCAGGGGCACGATGGGCTGTGAGAGCAGCTTCTGAGGGAGGGGGGGTGCCGGTTGCTGCTGCAGACCCCTCTGAGGATGTTTGGTCCGGTAGTCCTCGATGAGCTCGGCGTGGTCCTTCTGCTGCTTCCGGATCTGGACACAGAGAAGAAGCACTCACTGTGGATACACCGGCCCCTGAAAACGGTCCCTTACAGGTTTCACTGGCTGCCCCCGGCCTCTACCTTCAGTTCAGTCCGATAATCTGGATTTATTCTGCACTGGGATCAGCTCCGTTACCTGCTCTAGCTGCTTCTGGACCACTCCCTGCTGCTCGCTGATGTAGCGTAGCTGGGCGGCGTCCTCCTCTGCGAAGACACGGCCCGCCTTCTTGGCCGTTCTCTGTTTGGCTGACAGAGCCTTCTTGGTCTTGCGGTGAGCAGCGATCTTATCCTCCAGGAGGCGCTGCTGCATCTGCAGGAGCTGCTGCGTCTCTCCGAGCCAGTCCTCGTACTGCGGCCGCTTGGGCTCATCTGGGAAAAGAAGGAGTCAGAATTCAGTGATGAGGAGAAGAAGCAATCTGACTTCGCTCATATGTGGCTGAGAAGAAACAGCAGCCTGCGATCAAAGAGAAACTTTGAGCGCATGCTGCTGTTTCTGCTGTCTGCACAGGCTCCAGGAAGAACTGAACTTTAAACGTTTACACGCAGGCGTAAACTGATCAGAGCTCATCAATGAGCTCCTGGTCTTTCTCCTCTGTGCCTGATCCTCTTCATCGTGTTGGTTGTGTTTGAATTGGAGATTAGAAAGTGTGGATATGAAGGTTATTATATGTCATTTAAACTGAATTAGCACATTTCTACTCTGAGCACTCAAAGCACTTTATACAACTTGCCTCATTCATCGATCCTACAAGCACACGTTTCTAACGTTCAAGAACAACTCGGGGTTAGACACTGCTCTCTCTACTGAGCTGCAGCCACCCAGGTAAAACACACAGTCACTCCAGTCATTTTTAATGCAACAAACCGAAACCAGTGGGTCTCTGTCAGATTCTGTGACCGTATAAAGCTCTCCCCGGGCTTTGTGTTAGAACCACTGCTCTGAATGTACCTGTTCAAGCTGCTCTGATTGGTTTCTGATACTCACTGCTGAACCCGGGGCCAAAGCTCGGGGGGTTGGGTTGCACCAGCTGAGGGGTCACCGTCCCCTCCTGACACAGAGAAAGACCGCAGACATGTTAGAGAAATGCTCTGTCCTGTGTGGTCAGTTACTGTGTCCGAGTCCTTCAACATACCTGTAATACCAGGTGTGGAGGCTGAGGGGGGACCTCGGGACCTGGGGCTGCTGGAGGCTGCTGGAACCTGACGCGCACACAGACAAAGACTTCAAATGAAGTTGAGAGAGGGAACGTTCACAGAGAACACTGAGGTCAGAGGTCAGAAGGTCATACCTGTTGATGACCACGGGATTCAGGCCCAGGTTTCCCTGAGACATCACTTTGTTTATGCCTTTCAAAGCCACCATCTTTGCCTTCATGATGGGGTCTGTAATGGAATCAAAGTCTGCAGGACAAAACAAGAACACGAGTTCAGCAGGGGCTTCATGAGAAAGACAGTCCAATGGTGCTTCAGGGGGAGTTTCAGGATTCTGGACTTACCCACACCAAGGAACGCAGAGTCTGTGGTGGAGCGCTGTCTGATCAGGGCCTGCATCTGTTTCTGTTGCTGCTGCTCCTGCCGCTCTTGGTCCAGGAGGTCCTGCAAAAGAAGCGGCTGCTCCTCCAGAAGCAGAGGCCTTTGTTTGTTCTGGTTCTGGACCTGGGTCTGAGCAAAGGTACCCTGGGTCTGGCTCTGCGTGGAGGTCCCCATATGTGGAGGTTCGGTCTGAGTGGTAAGGAGGAGGTGAGGAGGCTGGAGAGGCAGTGGGTGAGGCGGGCCTTGGGGGGCCTGAGGAGGCAGACTGGTGTGAGGAGACACTGAGACAGCCTGAGGGTGGGGGGTGAGTTGAGGCGAGGATGAGGGGGGCCCAAAAGGCCTCTGCTGCTGCTGGAAGACAGGCTGTTGTCCTGGGAGAGGAAGAGCAATCAGAAACAGTTCTTCCATTTCAAATCTGCTGATTAGACCAACGATTGGTCGATAACACGAGGGGGGCAGGTCAGGCTTGTGTTTGTTTACCTGTGGTCACAGGGGGCTGAACTCTGGATACCATGCCCATGGATGGCACCTGCTCCTGGGGCTTGATGGATGACAAAGCCCCTGAAACAGAACCGGAGTCCTCCAGCTTCTCCTGGAGGCAGTGGTGGGTTATTTATTATGTTCTCTTTATTGAACTAATTATTGATTAATATTTATTATTGATAAATTGAAAATGTCCCACCTTGATGTGATGGACAGAGGAAACCTCAAGTCCTAGAGCTCCCGGGGGTTTGCTGGTGGCGAGGACCCCAGGTCGAGCTGCCCCTGTCTTGCTGTCGTCCCTCACTTCCTGTTTGATCTGTCCGACCAGGTGGGAGCTGCTGTCGGTCTTTCTAGAACCACAAACTCCATCCTTCCTCTCTCCGCTCTCCTTCTCCTCCGCTGGCTCACCCAGATCCAGCTCCTCGTTGAACATGTCCTTCTTGTCCTCCAGGTTGAGCTCAGGGTCGGCATAGGCGATCAGGTCAAACTTCCCCGACAGCAGGAAGTCATCGAGGTGGAGGTCATTGGGACCCAGGTCCAGGTCTTCTTTACCTGAAACAGAGTTAGAGGACGAGTCAGTCAAGCTGAAGAAGGATCGATAACTTGCTTCAGAACAGGTGTAATTTCTGGATTTAGCCAAGGTGAAATAAGCTGGACCCGGACTCGATCGCTCATACCATCTTCAGGGTCGAGGTTCAGGTTCAGGTCAACCAGATCCTTCACTTCTACATCCTCCAGGTCCTTCACAGCCGAGTCCTCCCCTTCCAGGTGCTCCTCGATTCCATCGGCTCCCGAGAGTGCCGGCTCGCCGGTCTGAGTCAGAGCCACCGTGTGGCCAAGGTGCTGCTGCTGAGGATCCTGCTGGTTCAGCTGCTCCACGGCGCCTGCCATCATCATCTGCTGAGCCATCAGCGTCTCACCCATCCTGGCCCCAGGACCAGGTCTGATGGCAGGTGGGTGGGGGTCTGAAGGAAGAGAGAAGGGCAGCCTCAGGCGGTTCTCTGGAGCGCGATGTCGAAGCTCAATGTAGGGCTGTCCCATGATGCTGTGCTGCTGGATGGGGAGAGAGCGAGGGAGGAAGGGCTGGGGGACACCTGAGGGGAAAGAGACTTTTTTATCAATCAAGTTCATTTTCAACATTTTTGACTGATCGGCCAGTCGGAGGAGCTGTGCTGACCTTGCATCATGTGCGGGTGAGCGTTTGGAGTCCCGTGGGGACGGATGGCGGTGAAGTCCCCGGGCACTGGCCTCCTCATCTGAACACGAACCTCCACAGCACCGAGCCCAGAGGCAGGCGTTGATCCTAGGGGTGCACGCAGGAAAGTGTCATGGAGGCCAGCTGGAGCTCCAAACCTGTAGAGGGCAGCGAGTGTAAGTCACAAACACACAAAAAACCATCAGATCTCAACCAGGACTCTTCTGCTCCTCTCACCTCGATCCTGGTCCTTGGACACCCAGCTCTCTGGGGAGACTCTGTCTGGGGAAAGAAGCCTCGGTGGGCGCAAAACCCCTCTGCTGTTCTCCTGGGAACCCTCCAGGGAACCTCAGGGCTGGAGCCCCGGCAGGCCGTATCGTGCCAGGATACGGGGGCGGAGGGCGCCCAAATGGGTCTGTCTGGACAGGGGAAGCGGTGGAGGTGGAGCTGGAGGAGTCGTCCTGCGACCAGTTGTGAAGAGGTGTGCCAGAACCAGGGGAGGATCCTGTTGGAGCAGCCGGGGGTGCAGCAAGTCCAGGAGCCGGTTCCTGCAGACCCTTCTCCTGACGTAACGTGCTCTTCTGCTGCTGCTGTCTCAGGATGAGCTCCCGAAGCCGTTGACGCTGCAGAGAAAACAGGAGGACAGATGAACTCGCTAAACACACGAGAACCAGCAACACTCGACCAGACAAACGTGGACTCACAACACCTCTCACCTGTCTCAGCTTCTCCCCTGAGTCACCAAGCTGAGGCAGCATGCTCATCGACCCGTCTAAAGCAGACATTTCAGTGGTTGCCGTCTTGTCGGTTTGCGATCGGCCTGGTGTCATGTGACCCTGCTCAAACGGATCGTGACCCGGAGTGTGACTGGCTAAAGCAGAGAAGCTCTCTTCTGATATCCCAGGGTGCTTTGGGGTGTGGCTGCTGGGGGTTCTGGGAAATGAGTCCTGTTGTTGTCTTCCTGGTGACTGCTGTAACTGACCAGAGAAAAGATGAGTAGAAGAAGACGCTACTCTGTGGCAGAGAATAGAGGCCGTGGGCTGTGGTGTTACCTGGTGGGGCGTTGGGGTGAAGGTCCCTGGGTCTCCTGGAGCCAGAGGGGATGAAGCGGAAGCTGCAGGCTGAGGAGCTAAGCTCTCAACTGGGGTTTGGCTGAATGGCTCGTGGGCCTTCTGGGGTCGTGGTGTAGAGGGCTGCTGGGCGTAGGGATCCGGCGAGGGTCGCGGTGTACCTGTGGGCTGTGCGTAGGGGTCGCCGGCCCGCTGACTCCCTGGTGATCGGGGGAAGCGGTCGATGACAGCTGGATGGGGTGTGCCCGGGTTGGAGGCGTAGGGATCGAGGGTTGGGTGAGAGGGGGACGGACGGCGGCTCATGGATTGCTGGTTGTACTGGTCTGGTCTCAGCGCAGGCGGTGTGGTGAGGTATGTGGGGTCAGAGTGGGGACGCGGCGTGCCAGGGGTCTGAGGGTTGGTGTAGGGATCCGGAGACGGCCGGGAGGTCATAGGTGACTGCTGGGTGAAGGGGTCGGACATCTGCTGAGTGTAATCTGGTCTGGGCGTGCCGGGCGCTTGGGCGTAGGGACTACGGTGGGGGGAGCCCAGACCTGACAGTGGGCTGGAGGGGAAGGGAGGCTCCTGTGAAGGAGGGGGGGCAAAACTTGACAGGTCCTTCCTCCCTGCTCCTCCTCCACCACCAAATGCCTCTTGCTGAGGGGGCATGGGGGCCTTAAACACACCACCCTGGAGCAGTTGACGACTGCATGACTCGGGCGCAGGGACTCGCACGTTCGTCTTCTGGTAGGCTTCGGCCACTCGGATGCCGGCATGTCTGACTGAAGGGTCGGGGGTGGGGTTACCTGGTTGTGGCCCGAGGCTTCTGAAGACGTCAGGTGTTTTGGAGTCGGGGGATGGAGCAGGAGAGCCTACGACATCATGGGCTGGGGAGGTGCTAAGGGAGCTGTGATGCTGCTGCTGGGAGGCTGCGGGGCCTCCAGACTGGGAAGAGGAGGGCCGAGGAGTGCCTATAACCTTACTGTAGGGGTCCCAGGGTGAGGAAGGGCGGGAGGAGGGGGGAGAGAACATCTGGGGGGAAGATGCTGGCTGGTGGAGGGGAGAGGAGGGATGTGGGGATTGAGGGAGTGAGGAAAAGCCAGAAGGGGGCGGTGCTTGAGGCCGGAGGAAGATGTCGTCCGCTGGTCCAGAACTTCCCTGCAGGAGGTGCTGCCTGGGCTGACCCTCCCTGAGACCCGGGTGAGGGGAGGCGCTTCCTCCGGTGGGCACGGGGCTGAGGCTGCCAGATTCAGGCGACTGGGGGCCTGAGAGGCGCTGGCTGGCCAGGAGCTGCTGCTGCTGCCGCTGCTCATTCTTCACCTGCTCCAGCTTCTGGGTGGCCTCCATCTTGGCGAGCTGCTTGCTCTTCTGACGCATTTGCTGAGAGAGAAAAACAGAAGGGACGGGCGAGGAGACAGGCGGACACAGAGCGACAGGCGTGAGGGCAACAGGTGGAGCTCAAACACGTCAACACAGAAACACTGAGGTCTGACAGACACAGCTACGCCGAACGACTGAGGTATGACACCAGGTGTTACAAAGGGGAAACCCTACAGAGACAAAGCTGTAAACATGTCTGACTAACATGGGAGTGTATGGGGACCGACTCACTGCTGCCTCTGCTGGACGTTTTTGAGGCTCCAGTTTGTTCTGACTTTCAGAATAAAATCCCAGGAGTCACGTCCCCATAACTCCTCCAACCCTTAAACGTGATTTTAACCATAAAGCCGAGTGAAAAAGAAGCTGTGCGTGGAAACAGACTTTAATAGAGTAAGTGTGGAGCAGGTCTGGACCTGAGCTCTCCTCCCTCACATGCATGGATGGAGGACACCGGACAGAATGTGTTTGTGTGGAGGTGCTGTAAGGAGGAGTCTGGAGAAGGCAGAGCAGAAGTTTCCGGAGCCATTCTCAGCACCCCTTCAGAATAAAAGCAGTCAGCTCGCAGGCAGACTTGGGCCGCGGCCTCCAGCTCTGGGCCAGCACAGACTTGTGACGTTGTGTCAGATCAGAGCTAACCCCTCCTCTTCCTCCCTCCCTCCTTCAAATTTAAGCCGTCCTTTGGCCCAGAGAGGAGGACGAGGCTGAGGCCGGCTCCACGGCTCTGAAACCCTCGCTCAGCTCCGGGTCTTGAGCTCCGTCACTCTTTATTTAAACTGTTGAAGTTTGATGGCTCTGACTGACGCCCCATTGGCTCGTTTAAAGGCCGATTGACAAGTTCCCGACAGTTCGTGGAGCTCCAGAGTGAAGAGGTGAGGTCAGAGGGTTTCAGAGGCTCGTGGATCCAGGAAGTCTGCCTCCGACAGGTTGGCCTTGAGGTCTTACCGGAGCTGCTACAGATGCCTGGCAGGGACAATCTGTATCTGTTGGAGATTTTTTGCTTTGGGGGGGGATTTCCTGCCTCTTCTTATCGGCTTCCCCTCTGTCTTTAACCCCTCCCTTTTCAATGACATCAGAGACGTTAGTGTGAGGGAGGGCGGCTCAGCGGGCATGCACATCACAGCATCATCTTTATCACAAATACACCCCACGGCGTGCTGCCTTCTGGTTACCATGGTTACTACTGAGAGCTGGAAACCAGCACCAGCCTTGGAGTGAGTACGGATTGTTTCTATGGGATTTAGTCTGCGCGACGGTCTCGAGGTTGAAGCGGTGGCGTGCAGCCTGCTGACCCGGGGGCGCTGCCTTTGACTTGTTGTGCAGAAACATTTGCGTGACTAATTTTAACGAGCACCCTCACAGTGTGTCTACAACCAGCAGGCAGCGCTCTGTGTCCCATCATGCATTGCGCTGCTGTTTGCATCACTAAAGTGTGTTTCTGGTAAATCAGGTGTTTTCTGACTAGAGTCTGGTTGTTGGTTTCTCGCTCTGCTGCTACGTCACCATAACGGACACCTGGACGTGTGGCGCTCTCGGGCTCTGCTCACCTGTCTGAACTTCCACTCCTGCTCCTGCTCCGACTCCTTGGGCCTCAGCGGGTCCTTGAACGGCATCTCTATCTCCATGGAAACAGTGTCAAAGGGTCCCAGCGGCGCGGACAGCTGCTGCTGTGAGGGCGGGTGGCGTTTGAGCGGGTCATTGGACAGCTGCACTTTGTTGATGCGTTGAGCCGCTCGATTGTCCCGAGCTTTTTGCTGCAGAGGGAAAACAGCACGTGGTCAGAGATGGCGAGGACGCTAAACGAACGCCATCATGGTTGATGAGCAGGCACGTGGCTCAAAGTTCCTAATCTTTACAGCACTGGGATCAGATCCACTGTAATCAGTGTCCACACTGTTACAGAACAAGGACACTGTGACAGTGTGGAAACTGATCGCACCTGATCGTCCTTGAAGGGTCCGGAGCTGGAAGATGACCCTGCTGCTTCAAATGGACACCTTTGATCAACACTCTGGAAACCACTCAAAAGGACACAAGGGCCTGTTGACAGGACGAAGGTCCTATGAACAGGCTCCTATACGCTTTTATAACGTTTCCTCAGCTCTCAGAGTCCTCCACACAGTGAGGAGGAGGAACTCACCACGTAGGGGGCTCTGTCCTGAGCGCTGGCCTTTCTCCACAGCTTGGTGATCTGCTTCACTCTGGTGGGCCAGTCTGATACAGGAAACAGCTGTTAGCTCTGTCAACACACTGAACGCAGTGTGTGTGTGTGTGTGTGTGTGTGTGTGTGTGTGTGTGTGTGTGTGTGTGTGTGTGTGTGTGTGTGTGTACCTGGGTACTGCTGCTTAAGCTGGGGGAAGTTGGTGTTGCAGTAGAGCACCGGAGCGACGGTGGCCATCTCTCCCAGACTCTCCTCCTTCTCCCACTTCAGCGTGCTCCTCTGAGCCGTTGACAGCGCATCCTGCTCGCCCTCACCAGCCGGAGCCTGCTGATTGGCTGGAACTAATGCAGAGGTGGGGCCCTGGATGGGGGCGGGGGTTTCGGTAGGGAGGACCCTAAAGCTGACTGGACCCTGGACACCGGGCATCATAGGAGGAGCAGCTGGTGAGAGGCCGTTCATCAGTGGGAGGCGAGGAAACGGCACGGCACCTGAAAGGTGATCAATACAGGTGATCAGAGGTGATTGGAAGGTTCAAAGAGAGCTCAGTCGAACCCTCAAACTGTTTTTAGGTTCATACTTATCAACAAAAACGATGGCGAGACAGCTGCAGGTCGAAGAAATGTTTGGGAAAAATGGTGGACGGTCGAAGCAAAGCGGCGTCATGAGTTTGTATCTCACTCAAACATCGAGCAGACAAATGTCAGCATAACGAGGAAACTGAAACAGTTAAATTCAGCTAACCTTTGGTTACATGACGTTAGTGACATCGCCACGTAACACGGCTCACACGTTTGTAGTTTTTATTATTCTGAAATATCACCAACGCCTTCAGACAGAGGTCACTGTGTACCTGTGCGTGTCTGTGTGCGTGTGTCTGTACCTGTGTGCGTGTCTGTACCTGTGTGCGTGTCTGTACCTGTGTGCGTGTCTGTACCTGTGTTGTGCATCTTGCTCCCAGCAGCCGCATGTGTGTGCTGACTCTGCTCTGATTGGCTGTTGCTGCTGTCTGGACTGAGGACAGCAGTGAACACCTCCTCCACGTCCTTTCCCTCCAGCTCTGCACACACACACACCAGCATCGGTCAGCATGGATGACGTGACATGAGCTTTCAATGACAGCGTGATGGTGACGAGCACCGACTCATCAACGGGACTAACGAGGTCATGACAGCATCACTTGTATCCATGTGATGCTGTCTGTGCAGAAGCAGCTGCTCAACATTTAATAACGAATACGTTTGAAGCCAAGTGCCAACTTCCCTTTTCAGTCGCTCTGCTGTCAGCTGACCTGTCCCTGTTTCTGATTGGTCAATCATCTTAGTTAGATTAATAAACCCTTGGCTGACGTATGGCGCTGACGCCCACACAGGTGCTCGGTCTTACCTGGGATCTTGTAGAGCTTGCTAAGGATGGCACCTGAAACAGAAGAACACTCGTCAATCAGCTGCTCTAGAATCTGTGAGCACTTCCCATTTCCTGCTTCTCAGACCCTCTTCAACTCACCATCAGTGACCATCTTATCAAGCTCAGGACTCAAGATGGCGTCCAGAGGCTCTTCCTGCATTGCCCTCTGGACACGCCCACTGCTTCCCATTGGCTCAGAAGTCAAAGAGGCATCATGCGCCACAGAGCTGATGTCCAGACCTGCTGAGAGAGGGGAAGGGGGTTAAATAAGAGAGACAGATGCATGGACAGACTGGAGGTCAGCAGGAAGCAGCAGAAGAAGAATGAGTCTGATCTCTGCAGGAGAAGAAGATGATTCAGGCCGTTATATCACAGGACAGGAGGAGGAGAACAAACAGGAGCAGAAGAGGAAGAAAAGTTTCAGAAGGCTCCAGGCTGTTGCCTCTGCTGGACGTCAGAGGAACTGCAGCCGTTTCATTTTGTAGTTTATTAAATTTATTTTGGCCGTCCAGAAACACAAAACTGAACCAAAGTGAGACGGAGGAGGAGGAGGAGGAGGAGGAGGAGGTGGTGGTCTTCCTGGGGAGTCTTACCAAATGGAGACGGGGAGCGCTCCACCTGGAACTGACCTGGAAACAAATACACACAGTTATGGTGTGAGCTCTTCTTCGTTGGTGTGGTCCCTGAGTGGGCAGAGGGTGAAGGGGCTGATGGGAGTACCTGTGTGTCCGGTGCCGAGGATGTGAGGGTCGGTGTTCAGGACGTCTGACAGATCCACGAGACCGCCATCCGACCCGGCTGGATGGTCACACACACACACACACAAACACGATTCACTCACAATTCAGAAGCCCGAGTATACGGGCTCAAAATGTGGTCATAAATATTTTGTACTTGTAAATCGGTTTTGTATGTGTAAAAAAGATTTGTGTGTGGACTTAGCCCAAAAAAACCCTGCAAGTTACAACTACGAATTTTGACCCCATTTTTCTTCCTTTAAGCTGATTGGTCAATGTCATGTCAATCACAAATGAAACAATCCAATCAGAGAACAGATGGGTTTGGCTGTCAGAGGGGCACTTTTTTTGAACTGCAGGTCCTTGAAGGGTAATCTCTATATAAATATCCGATAGCAGCTAGGTCCCCTTACTTTCAGCAGCTGTTGAAAGGATAAAGTTGTGGTATATCAGTGGTTAGAAATACCATTATTACTTTAGGATTAGTTTAACACAAAGTCAGGGCTGACCCAGGACCATTGCTGTGAGTCACAGTGCGCAGCATAAAGGTCCTTCCACATCGGACGCAGGATGTGCTGCTAATGCTAACTGCTAACTAAAAGCAAAGGATCCAGAATTTGTTGCTGGCTGCTGGGCTCTGTGGGTTTTTGCAGCAGCTCTACCTGCACTAGATGCACCTGCTCCTTGTCTTTTCTATCTCTGACTTTATGTCCTCTACAAGAGTTTCTGGGGGGTTTTTTGCTGGTTCTTCAAGTGTTCAATAAAAACATGTATGCTAATTCATAACGAAGAAAGCTTTGTAATGAAGACTGTCATTTACAAAAGGACAAGACACAGACATAGGACAAGTCTCAGCAGTCCATCTGCATCTAAAGGTCAAAGGTCACTCTTTCGAGGATGCCAATGTTCACATTTTGGACAGAGAGGACAGATGGTTTGAAAGAGGAGTGAAAGAAGCATCTATGTCCACTGTGAACGACCATGAGAGATCTAACTAAAAGCAAAGATTCGTCCCAGAATTTGGTTGCTTGGCTTGTTTTCTTGGGCCTGTCTTTTTTTTTTCTGGTGGGGGGTTTTTTTTTTTTTTTTTTTTGGCAAAGCAGCCCTTCTTTTAACGCCTCTGGCACTTAGAGTGCCATGACCCCGTGCCCCCTTTCCCTTTGTGGCTTTTTTTCTATAATCTTCTGGCTTTGTAATGGTTCGCTCGGTAGCCATAAGATTTCTCTGGGGGTTTTTTTTTTTTGTGGTCGCTTTGTGTTCTTTCATAGTCGTTTCAATAAATTATAAGAAGACATGGGTTTCGAATGCGTTAAAATTGCATGGTGAAACGAAGAAGCTTTTTGTAATGAAGTACCCTGGTGCATTTACAAAAAAAGGACAAGATCAAGCGGACAGACTATTGAGGGAAAATGTCTGGTTTCAGCAGTTCCAATCGTTGCGATTCTAAAGGTCAAAGGGTTCCTCTTTTTCTGAGGAAGATGGCCAATGTTTTTTTCACGATTTTTTGGAGCAGAGAGGGAGCAGATTCTGGGTTTGAAAGTAGGGAATGAGTGAATAGAAGCATCTATGTGTCTCACTTGTGAACATCTATGATCGTCATCTTTGAATGCAGGGATGGCGGTGGCTTACGACATCTGGCGAGGCCGCGCGAATCTGCTCGTGCCATGCTATAATGCGCTAGTTTTGATAGATTCTTGCCCAAGACGCCTTAGTAAACGGCGCGCACGTCAGCATCGCTGGTGTGTTCCATAGTCTGGATCCGTTCAAGTGAATAGTTCGCATGATATTAGGTTGGGGCATGGTTTCACAAATTGAGCACACCTCGATAGAATCTCTTCTGGGCGTGAGTAATTTGGGACGGTTGGTGCCACAGACCTCCAGTTTCGACATCCATTGCGTGCAGGGTTGATTTAGAAGGATCATCAAGGTGGGGGTCCTTTTGTCATTCTCGTCTTCTGTGGGGGTGGAAGAATCCACACTTAGGTTTTTATATCTTGGGATGCTCTTCACCATTTGACCTTTCGAGAACTGAGATATGAATGTCTGTCGATGTGAAGAGTGTGGAAATTAGCGTGGCTTCAAGCAATCATTAAAGAAGGTTCCTCCCAGGAACTCGCTTTGTTGTTTGTTCGTTCTTTACAAGATCCTTTGACTATCGATGACGTGGATGTACTGAGGAACAGCCCCCCTTTAATGAAGACTGTCATTTCCCAACCCCCCCCCCCCCTGCGTCCGCAGCGCTGTTGAAAAGGCTGTGGAAGTCCCTGTATTAAACGTAGACCTGTGACACAAAAATCACCAAACTCGGACGACCACAGACTGTTTTCCTTCGTGGTGATGAAGGAAAACGCTGGGTTGGCATGTAAAAGGGCATTTATTCCCTTCAAAGACCTGCAGTTCAAAAAAAGCGCCCCTCCGACAGCCAAACCCATCTGTTCTCTGATTGGATTGTTACATTTGTGATTGACATGACATTGACCAATCAGATGAAAGGAAGAAAAATAGGGTCAAAATTCGTACTTGTAACTTGCAGGGTTTTTTTCTACACACACAAATTCTTTTTACACATACAAATCCTGATTTACAAGTACAAAATATTTATGACCACATTTTGAGCCCATACGAGTAAAGGTCATGACACTTTCTGTCCGTCAACAGGAAGTGGCATCATCCTCTACCAAGCTCCTCAGCCAATGATGAGTGAGGATGAAATGCTGATAAAAACGTAAACAAAGCAGTAACTCACGCAGCGCTGCCACCTTCGTGTTGGCGCCAGAGAGGGGAGGGGCCTGAAATCCAGGAGTTGGGCCTTTCAGGTTACTTGTCGCTGGTCTTGGTTGGCTACTGGCTGCTGCTTCTGGCCCTGCCCCCCTGTCCACCTGTCGGCTTCGATCGAGAAGATCTCGACCAAAAAATGCCTCCTGGAGAGAGGAGGAATCAGCCAATCAGAGTGCAGGGATGATCTCATTGTGTGTGTGTGTGTGTGTGTGTGTGTGTGTGTGTGTGTGTGTGTGTGTGTGTGTTGTGTGTGTGTGTGTGTGAGAGCGAGAGAGAGAGAGAGTGAGTGAGAGAGAGAGCGAGAGAGAGAGAGAGCGAGTGAGTGAGTGAGAGAGAGTGAGCGAGAGAGAGAGGAGCGAGCGAGAGAGCGAGCGAGAGAGCGGCGGAGCGAGGAGAGCGAGAGAGAGAGAGAGGAGGAGAGAGAGAGCGAGAGAGAGAGAGGC